AAATATATTATAACTAAATAACATCACAAAAAATTATGCAATTCACTATCATTACCAACATGTCAAAAAAAATCTATATGTCTTTATTGTACAACTCAGGTATTGTCTTTTCTTTCTATAAACTCAGAAAGAAATTAAGCTCGTTATCCGCTGCTTCACCTCGATGACGTCATCATGGCGGGAATCGTAATGGAGGATGAAAGCGCATTCTTCCAGCTGCCTCGACACGTCCTGGAAGAAAACGAAAATTAATGTTTTGTATCAAGAATATAAGGATATTTTAAAGTATTTTGTATTTTTGTTATTGGTCCTCGGGTTGTCTAACGCAGAGAGAGAAAAAAGTGATGGTTTCCTAAAAAAAAAAAGGGGGGGGGGAGGGGAGATCAAAAGATCTGTGAAATATTAAAAGTGTTTTGGATAAACATGATTGGATTAGGATTTTAGGAAGTTGTCACTTGCAAAGATTTTTTTTTTGATAACGATATGAAAGATATTTTGTTGATGTGAATTGACGAAGGCAAATCATATTTACATTTTTCCTCCAAGAAAAAAAACGGTTCAACACTGCTGAAAACACACACACACACACACATACCACACATACACACTCACACATATGATATATATATATATATTATATGTGGTGTGTGTGTGTGTGTTGTGTGTGTGTGGTGTGTGTGTGTGTGTGTGTGTGTGTGTGTGTATGTGTATGTGTGTGTATGTATGTATGTGTATACATACATACAAGACACACACACACACACATGCACACGCACATATATATATATAATATATATATATATATATATATATATATATATTTGTGTGTGCGTGTATCTATATGATACATATGTGCATATATCACCAGTAACATCAGTTTATAATCATCAAACTATTTCCTTTAAGATTATATCATATGGCCAACAATTGGGCGCTTAGGAAGTTGGCTGGAGTGGGATGTTTCACGCCTGTGGACTGTTTCTGTACACGCTACAACAGATTATCATAATCACAATATGTTATATTAGTAATATAACGCTTACCTCGACATTTTGGACAGAATAAACTGACTGAGAACTGTTTAGCTGAGTCCCCCCTGCCGAAGCCGCCGCCGTAGTGTCACAGTCCGCCACACCGCGGCGCTGCAGTAGCTCTACGGCGGCCCTGCAGCGCTCCAACAGCAAAATACCTTATGGAGAGAATTTCAGGGATTTTTATTGTAAAATGAGGTTGTGGTGTAAATTGGTCTTGCCTTCAGATATGATTTTGATGGAATGATATTTGCGTTCCAGTTATATCTTGTCATGATGAGACGAGGAAGATTTCCGAAAGTTTGAATGTTATCCTAAGTGTACGAAAGGCGTGTTCGTACATATATACTTGTATTTATATGAATCATTGATTTATTACAAAAAAAAAAAAATCCACCCAGTTATCATTTTTCAGAACCTGATACATTGGTCAAAATCTTTTCAGTATTATATGCCACGTGATCCATTAAACATGAAATATGTGTAACTAATTGCTTCATTTTTCTTTAAATAATAATCTTTATTGGCTTTGTATATTTAAAATTACTCATTACGTAGTTATATTGTTCGTATAAAACTTGCTCATTGTTCATTCGACGATAATAAGTCATTTTAAAAAAATCATCATTTATTATCACAAAATAGAACATTTGATGAACAGTCGTATATCTGATTTCCTGTATGTGTGCGTGTGCGTATGTGTGTGTGCGCGCGCGCGTGTATATGTGTGTGTATGTGTGTGTATTTGTGCGTGAATGTGTGTGTGTGTGTGTGTACGTACATATGTGCATGTGTGCATAAAATGACAAATCCCATATATTACCTACATGAACTTATTACTTCGATTCATTATATTAGAATTGGCAGTGAGGATATCTAATTAATATATAACATACGGATTAGCACCACTAGGATTCACCAAATAATTCATCTGTATACATATCCATTAGGGATTATCTCTACACACTCAAATATAATCACACAAAGATTATTTTTTTCAAGAACTAAATACGCTGCGCTATCTCCGAAAACACAGCCATTTGTCAGGCTGAAAATAAATAAATAAAAAAAAAAAAATGTGGAAGAGGCCTAACGGTATTTGTGTGTGTGTGTGTGAGTCACAGAACATTTTATTTTAGGGATGTTTAGGTTAGGGAAGAATTCAGGACATTAATCTGAATTCAGGGCATCTCTGTAGGAAATTAGTGTAGGGAATTAGTGGTATGCTCAGTGTCACAAAAACGTAAATAAATATTACTTAAAAAAATTTATTTATTTATATGGATCTTAATCACTTCAGTAAACATAAATTGTGTTATGTTTACTTAATAAACTTATGTAAGATTAAGACATATAAATAAGTAAATATTAAATATAGGATATTTTTGGGACTTGGACTGAGAGGCATGTTGGACAGTCGAGCCAAGAACTCACCTCTGAACCTAGACAGACCGGGTTCTAGGAGGTCAGCGAGCCGGAGGAGGTCGGAGGTCAAGTCCAGCACGTTCAGCAGGTCATCCTCGGTCAAAGCTGCTCAGGGGAGGAAGAATCAAGGTCAGGTTTAGGGTCATGGCTGCTACGCGTGTGTGATAGAGACATGAAATTATGATTATTTATTTATTTTATTATTGTTATTATTATTATTTGTAACTGACATGTAGGAAATGCTTATGATAAGACGTGCAATTTAAAGCAAAATGGAAACAAAATAAGCTTTTGGCAATTTTTCGCTCAAAGACAGTAAGTTGTATCATCCATTGTGTTTACTCTGCCTCTTGCATATAACCATATATTCTCAGTATAGATGTTTGATATCTATATCAGCAGTGATTTTCTGTATTCCATTAGTTGGATGTGTATTCACTAGGCGTGGCATGTTGATAATAAAGAAATATTGTTAATGCATCGCCACTCGTACACGAATCACGTGTGTGTTCATTTAAAAGTGAAGGAGTGAATCGTCCCTCAAGGAGAAGGAGCAGACTGTGTTTACCTTCGAGCGCGGTCGCCATGAGCGCCTGCACGAGCGCGTACTTGAGTTCCACGACGATGTAGTGCGCGTCCCCGAGGAGCCGACGGAGGTGGGCGAGGGCGGCAGCGACGGCAGCGGCGTCCCCGATCGGCAGGCGCCCGAGAGCCGCGCCTCCGGCACGTAGCAGGGTCTCTATCGCGCCCGCGGAGACACTCTTGCCGCAGGCTGGGCACTCCCAGTCGGCGCGGCAGTCCGCGGGAGGCAGCATGAGGCCGCCGCCGCAGCCGCGGCAGAGGACGGAGCTGAGGTGCGAGCCCAGCTCCGTGGGGTCGAGGCAGCGCTCGCACTCGCACGTGAAGAGCTTCGAGGTGCTCAGGTGGGCGGCTCGAGCGCGGGTGCCCCAGAGGCTGTTCGTGTAGGTGTTGGTGACGGGGGCGCCCTCGGGGATGTCCACCACGGCGCGCACGGTCATGACGCCGTTCCTGTACCAGTGCTGCGTGTTGGGCGAGCACGAGTGGTTCATGAGGGCGCCGCCGGGAAGGAGGGCGCGGCCGCGGATGTCGCCGTCGCTGATCTCGAAGGCGTTGGTGTCGAAGATGCCGCACAGGTGCTGCACGATGTCGCTGTCCACGGGGAGGCCCAGGCGCGCCCGCAGCACCTTCGCCACGTGCTCGTCCACGAAGCGGCCGATGGGGAGCCTCCGCCTCTCCTCGGCGTGGCTCTGCAGGGCGGCGATGACCTCCTTCACGGGCGGCGCCTTCTTCATCAGCAGTATCGTCCTGATGGGCGTCAGGAGGACGCTCAGCTGCTTGATGAGGACTGTGTTCTGAGGCTGACCCTTGAGGCCCAGCGGGACCAGGAGTCGGCACTCCTCCTGGCTGTGCCCGTCGCCCCCGCACCCGCGCCCGCAGAGAGGGGCGCCGCACTGCTGGCAGCCAGCCCACTCGCTGCCCTGCAGGGACCTCAGGCATGCCAGACAGGAGGCGCCGGACCCCGCCTTGGGGGCCACCACCAAGGGCGCCTCGCGGAACACGACCTCGCCGGCCGCGATGTTTCGCGACGCCACCAGGTACCTCCCGAAGCCGGGGCTCGAGTGGATCTCTACCACCTCCCTTGGGCGTCTCTCGTCCTGCTCCTCGGGAGAAGAGAATAAACTCCCGGAGGATCGGAGGACTTCAGGACGCTTCGTTGGACAGTACTCCAGCTGAAGTCGCTCGCTGAAGCTGTCGGAGGCTTCAGGCTTGTCCTGGTCGCCCCACGAGGGGTTGATGGCGGCCAGGGAGGTCATGTACCGCTCCAGAGCCGACACTCGCTGCTGCTCCTCGGCCTCCATGGTGGCTGCAGGACAAGGAAGCGGTTAGGAGTCGCAGGATCCGGGAAAAGGTTTGCTGCAGATGACATCTCATAAGAATGACATTGCAATTCAAAAGCAGTTTGGTAAATATGAACACAGAGTTTAAAGATTTACAGCTGAACCAGTTTACAGATATCAATATGTCACAGAGATATTACTAAGCCTGTCTCTATTTCAGATTCTTTCTAAATTCAAAATGCTTGTTTTCAATCGATTTACAAGTAAACGTAAAAGATGGGTTTTCCACCGTAGGTTAATGCCACTGGCTTTCTCTCAAGACCCTGGCGGTTCTCCACGCGGGTTCCTCGGCTACTTCGGCGTCCACCAAGGCAGTAAGGGAACCCGAGCAAAATTAATTTCAAGAAACTCCAGCGTAAAATCGTATAAATTCATTCACGATAACGTCGTTAAAGATTTATTTTCATATATCTAAAATACTATCAATCAGAAAAAAAAAAACGGAAAGACATTTTGTAAACAGACCACCATTCCCAAGATCTTGAATTCTCGGGGGAAACGAACCTAAAAAAAATATGTCCTTATCAATGTTGAAAACTTTGGAAACCACAACCGTAAGAGAATAGCGATAAGCATTGGCGTGTCCTTATTTAGCTGCAGTAATACGAGGAGGATGACTGCCAAGAACATCGCGTTTTGTAGCTGCTCATGCCCGGGCTTTGTGTATCTGCTCTTTGTATTTTTGGTGAATCTATTTTCCCCCTTGGTCCCCGAAAAGATAATTTTGTCCAACCTCATACATCTGGCATGAAAGCGCATTTATATCTGTTACGTAAGCGCGCATTTCATCAGGCTGTCAAGATGGAGGGAAACTAAGTCTTGCATTTATTTTTTGTAAGTGATTTTAAGTGCAGGTCGTTGTAAGTCATCTTAAATGCAGGTCGTTGTAAGTCATTTTAAGTGCAGGTCGTTGTAAGTTATCTTAAATGCAGGTCGTTGTAAGTCATTTTAAGTGCAGGTCATTACATGTCTTGCTCTTATGTTTTGTAAGTGATTTCAAGTGCAGATCGTTGGAAGTAATCTTAATTTCAGGTCGTTATAAGTAACTTTAAGTGCAGGTCGTACTTAGTATCCGAGAAGGCAGACCGTGTCAGTGTTCTCTCGACATGTGGGTGTATTCTTAGCACACAAACACAACGGCGAGAACTAACTTACCGTGCTGTGTGTGTGTGTTTATCTATGTGTGTGCTTGTGAGTGTGTTTATCTGTGTGTGTGTGTTTATCTATGTGTGTGTGTGTGTGTGTGTGTGTGTGTGTGTGTATGTGTATGTGTGTTGCTTGTGTGTGTGCGTGTGTGTTTATCTATGTGTGTGCTTGTGTGTGTGTGTGTGTGTGTGTATGTTTATCTACGTGTGTGCGTGTGTGTTTATCTATGTGTGTGCGTGTGTGTTTATCATGTGTGTGCTTGTGTGTGTGTGTGTGTGTGTTTATCTATGTGTGTGTGTGTGTTTGTCTGTGTGAGTGAGTAAGTGTGTGTGAAAGAGTGAAGAGGGAGAGAGAGAGAGAGAGAGAAGAGAGAGAGAGAGAGAGAGAGAGAGAGAGAGAGAGAGAGAGAGAGAGAGAGAGAGAGAGAGAGAGAGAGACAGAGACAGAGACAGAGACAGAACAGAGAGAGAGAGAGAGAGAGAGAGAGAGAGAGAGACAGAGAGAGAGAAAGAGAGAGAGTGGAAATGTGCGAGTATGCTTGAGGTCTGCGCTGTTAAATGTGATTAAATCCGTTGTTCGTGTCCAGGAAAAAAATATTTAATGATGCTCTCCCTGCGACCTGTACTGGTCGAGAGAGAGAGAGAGAGAGAGAGAGAGAGAGAGAGAGAGAGAGAGAAGAGAGAGAGAGAGAGAGAGAGAGAGAGAGAGAGAGAGAGAGAGAGAGAGAGAGAGAGAGAGGAGAGAGAGAGAGAGAGGAGAAGAGAGAGAGAGAGAGAGAGAGAGAGAGGGAGAGGAGAGAGAGAGAGAGAGAGAGAGAGAGAGAGAGAGAGAGAGAGAGAGAGCGGGGGGGAGGAATGAGGAAGGAGAGGGAGAGAGAGAGGGGAAGGAGAGGAAGATGGAGAAGAAGAGGGAGGGAGGAGGAAGAAGGAGGCGATGGAGGAAGAGCAACAACAGAATAAATATTAGGAGAAAGAGGAGAAGGTAAGAATAAGGGAAGGACGAGATAGGAAGAGAGAGAGGAATGAGGAAGGAGAGGGAGAGAGAGCGGGAAAGGGAGAGGAATATGGAGAAAAAGAGGAGAGGGAGAGGAAGAAGGAGGAGATGGAGAAAGAGTAACAACAGGATAAATAGAAGGATAAGGAGGAGGAGGAGGATAAGAAGCAGGGGGAGGACGAGATGGGGAGAGAGAGAGATGAGCAACAGGAGAAGGAGGAGGAGGAGGATAAAAAGTAGGAGTGGGAGGAGATAGAGAAGGGGGAGGAGGATAATAAGCAGGAGGAGGACGAGATGGGGATAGAGAGAGAGGAGCAACAGGAGAAGGATAAGGAGGAGGATAAGAAGTAGAGTGGGAAGAGATAGAGAAGGAGGAGGAGGATAAGAAGTAGGAGTGAGAGGAGATAGAGAAGGGGGAGGAGGATAAGAAGTAGGAGCAACAGAAGAAGGATGAGAAGAGATAGAGAAGGAGGAGGAGGATAAGAAGTAGGAGTGAGAGGAGACAGAGGAGGAGGAGGGATTCTATAAATTTTCGTGCTGAGAAAAGGCGTTTAATGTATAAATAATTATCTGATAGGTATAGATAATTACCTGATAGCACTTCACTAATGACTACTATGGATCGATAATTGGTAATTAAAAGATTACGTAATTGGATCATGATAATCGTCGTTTTCCTTTTTTTTTTACGGTATCCAATTACCTGATAGGACTCACTAATGACCACTATGTGTCGATAATTGGTAATTAAAAGGTTACGTAACAGGAGAATAATAATTATTTTCTCTTTTTCTTTTTTTTTACGTTTTCCAGCTGGACTCGCAGGAATTCTACAGTGGATGTGGGATGTCACTTTCTTAGCCCAAGTCCCTTAAGTGTTATTTCAGAACGGATTGGACGTGTGGTGGAGGTTATAAGGAGCAGATTGCTGGTTTAACATACTGGATTTTCAACTTTCTCGATATGATAATAAAGCAGCAAACTTATTTTTTTCAAGAATTGTTTTGGACTCCAATATCCGTATTATTGTTGTTGTTGCTATTGTTGTTGGTATTATCATTATCATTATTACTACTATTGTTATTACTATTATTTTCATCATTAGTAGTAGTAGTAGTAATATCATTATCATTTTTATCCTCATTAGTATTATTATAATCATTATAATTATCATTGTAATTATTATTACTCTCATCGCCATCGTCATCATTATTATCATCATTAATGTTAATATCATCGTTATCATTATCATAATCATAATCATCTAGACATTTAGCAACAGATTCTGACGCACTTGCTTGCTAATCTTGAAGAAAAAGATTGCCAGGTCGGAGGGCTAATTTGAGGAACGGGGATGACAGATGCTACCATGACAACAAAAGAGCCAAAAACTTAAAAAAAGAAAAGAAAAAAAATATATATGTTATCTCTCATTCTCTCTCTTTTCCTATCTCTCTCTCTGTTCTGTCTCTATCTCTCTTTGTTTTTTTATCTTATTTATTTATTTGTTTTATTTCGTATTTTTTTTCTTTACTTATTATCATTATTATCATTATTATTATTATTATCATTTATTATTATTATCATTATTATTAATAAAGAGAGTGACACTGTTTGATTAATTCCTTGAAAGATCCATAGCCGGTGTTTGTTCGGATGTCATTATTGACTCCGACTTCGCCTTCCCTTTAAAATCCATGAATTCTAAGACAAAAGACAAAAGTAGTTTATCAATTCTATGCACATCCCTATATACAAAAAAAGGGTATTAGGAATCTCGTAATACTTCCCTATAAAATATTTTCAAGGACGAGACCCACTACTAAAGCTGTGAAGTTGCATGCACCGAATGACACAGTGGATGACAACACAGCATATGGCAGCCATTCGCTCTGGCGCCCAACACTCGTTCGTGAAGAGTGCACAGTATACGTACACACACAGACACGCACACTTACACATAGCTCGTGGTTACACATACACGTACGCACGCACGTACTCAGGCACATATAAAAAGAAAATCATATATTCAGTGTATATATATAAATACATGTATCAGTATTCACACACACAACACAATACGTATGTGTGTGTGTGTATATATATATATATACATGTATATATATATATATATATATATATATATATATATATATATAATATATGTATATATATATATATATGTATGTATGTATATGTATATAATATATATATATATATATATATATATATATATATATAATATATATATATATATATATATATATTATATATATTATATATATATATATATATACATATATATATATATATATATATATATAATATATATATATATATATATATGTTGTGGTGTGTGTGTGTGTGTGTGTGTGTGTGTGTGTGTGTGTGTGTGTGTATGTATGTATGTGTTTGTGAGCATTTATATATACATACACACACACACACACACATATATATATATATATATATATATATATATATATATAAATATATATATATACAAATGCATGTTACTGTGTATATTTACATATATATATATATGTATATACTGTGCCCCTCTCAAGGTCTGTCAGAATTATTTTTTTTACGAAATTAAATCGTCAAAGGTTGAAAATGCCTCCGCTTTACCCCCCCCCCAAGACAAAGCTGAACTGACGCCCCTGATAGAATATCGTCGAAATGTTTGCATATGGAGGAGGAAACTCGGAGTCAGCAGAGAAAATAGGCAAAGACTCAAGGAAAAACTTTAAATTTATATAATGCTGTGATCCGAACTCCTCGTCCAGCTCGTCCGGACAAGTTGGACGAGGTGTCTCGACCGTTCGGAACCTCTGCTTTCTCGTCCCGGACAAGGAGTCTAGCTCGTCCATCTCGCTCTCCTGCGAAGGGGGGGCGAGCAGGACGAGATGACGTCACAATGGCTTTTGTATGTAAACATTGACAGTTGCAGGCAACCACAAGATGTTGATGGGTATTTTTTACGGCCCTTTATTGATGTTATCAAAGGATATTTTCGTATTGACAGTTACAGGAAATTAAATATGCATCAAAGGAGTTACAAAAGACACCGGTATGATAAAATAGTGGATGTTTACTTTCGAGCTGGTTGCAGTCTTGGAGGTTCCTGACGTGCCCTCGTTGACCAGCTGGTCTTATATAATAAGTGGTCTGGACGAGCAAGACGAGCAGTTCCGAATGCAACATAATTAGTGGAGCCACGTTGGCAGAATTAACCCAGGCAGAAGGACAGACGTGACAGGAGCCATGTGATGTCTCGCTCCTGGGATCACACTTTGTTTCCTCTTTGACTCGAAATCCCCAGCCAATCAGAAGGCAGAAATCACATGTCCTGGGAAACCGCCTGGTGACTCAGCCAATCACAAGCCGACGAAAGTCTATTTTTTGAAATCCCAAGGCCACTCCGAGAGCCTCGACCAATCACAGCGCGCGGAAAGAGCGGGAAAGCGCGCTCTCCAACGGCTCGTAGTACACACGAACCGCGCGCGTCCGAGCGATTCGCACTCGCGCAATGCCGGCAATGCGAAGGCATGTAAACACTCATACCCTCGCCCTGGCTGCCCGCCGCTGTACCCATTTTACCCTGTGGTCGTGAATCAGAAATTTCGGGTCTCGAGACGGGTGCCAACGGGGCGAGGTGGCTGGGTACGACCGATGAGCTCAAAGCATTCGAACTTGAACCCAAACCCGTTCGGTCCGGTTACCAATGTCGGGAGCCACGTGTGATTGAACGAATTCTCGTACTGTACGTGCGGTTTTTGTGCAGCGCGGATTAGGTTCACTTCATCAAATTTCTCTCTCTCTTTAGATGCGGTTTTCCTGAAACGAAGAATGGTAGAATTCGCGAATGGGTAGAAGCTCCTTTTTATTATGCCGAATCTTGTATCGAGCTTGCGTCTTGAGGTTTTTGGTGAGGAGGTCATACGCGCGCTTGACATTAGTCTTCTACTTTTATAGGATTTAAGAAATACTGTATGCTACAGTCTATACTCCCCTTAGTCGAGTTTTTAGTTTTTGCGAGAGACCAACCAAGCTTCAAACGTGTCTTGATCCGTTACATGCCGAAAATGCGGTTAAAAATCAAGTTAACATTCACAACAAATAACTATAATGGCAATCATGACATATTCGTGTAATACCTTTAAGCTTGTTTACTCCTACGTATTTGGTATCAACTTTTTTTCTGCATCGGAACCTGTTTTCATTTTTCTACCTCCAACCTCCCCGCTTGCCTGCCTGCCTGCCTGCCAGCATTCTTGTCAACCTTCCCACCTCCTGCCAGACCATTTCCGGGTTGTCTGCCTGTTTTCCGGGGCCGTTGAGTCTGCCTGTACTTGTCAGTGTACAGGCAGACAGGCAGATGAGCTGACAGATAGTTAATCACATGGATAAACCGAGTATATTCAATCGACTAAATCTGCGTTCATTTATACGTATCCATCTGAACGTAACCGCCCCCCCCGCCCCCCCCCAAAAAAAAACGATAAAAAACTAATAATAATGAAATGAATAAATAAAAGGTAATTTCGAGTGAAACACCTTATCTCCCTTCATGTCCCTCTGTCGGCAAAATATTAGGAGATGCGCCAGACATGCTCAGTATTTCAACCACCTCCTGCTCGGCCCAACAGGTGGCGCCACCGCAGAGTGAGTCACCTGTGCAACCGATTAGTTCAAAGTATACATGTACCCTGGATTTTGCTTGTGTGTACCTCGGGTGAACCCTGGTGAGGCTTCAAGGTTGCACGTTAAAGCCGTCACGTACCCTATTCTTTGAGCATTCACGTAGCAGTCACCTTGCCTGTTTTTTGAGCAGTCACGTATCCTGTTTTGTGAGGCACCGGCTGGGTATGGTTACTTAGGAACTTACGAATCTCCTTCATATTCAATATGTTTAAAAAAATAATATATTTTTTAAACCTATTGCACTTCCATTTTTATCATTTTGCTCTCACGTACTCTCATTTCCGTTATTTTTTTCTTCTATATCCCGTTTACATCTGTCTCTGTCTGTCTCTCTGTCTGTCTGTCTGTCTCTCTCTCTCTCTCTCTCTCTCTCTCTCTCTCTCTCTTCTCTCTTCTCTCTTCTCTCTCTCTCTCTCTCTCTCTCTCTCTCTCGCTCTCTCTCTCTCTCTCCTCTCTCTCTCTCTCTCTCTCTCTCAATCTCGCTCCATCTCCCTCCCTCTCTTTCTCAGAGAGTGGAGAGAAAGAAAGA